AATCCCCTAGCCAGGCTGGCTGGGGGATTCTGGGAGTTGAAGTCCGCCCGTCTTCAAGCTGCCAAGGTTGAGGAACCCTGCCTGGCTGGGGGATTCTGGGAGTTGAAGTCCACCCATCTTCAAGCTGCCAAGGTTGAGGAACCCTGCCTGGCTGGGGGATTCTGGGAGTTGAAGTCTGCCCGTCTTCAAGCTGCCAAGGTTGAGGAACCCTGCCCTAAACCAGCATTGTGCACCTTCTATTGGGGGGCTCACAAGCAGGGCCCGAGGGTGGGGTCACTATTTCACTCATGCCCACCCAAAACCGGCCTGTGCTTCTAACCCATCGTGACCCGTAGCCAACCAGGGGGGGCCCTTCCTCCCCAAAATGGGGCGAATGTGCTCTTCATGCACCTTTGGGATCATGATGGAGGTTGAGCGCAAGGCCCGTCAGCTGGGGAAGATGGAGAGAAGCCGGTTGCTGGTTGCCTAGCAACCCTGCCACTTCCTGCCCGCTTCAAAGGGGCTTCCTGTTGCTGAGGGAATGGAAGCATCTTGGGGTTACCTAGCAACCACAGGAAGTGCCTGAGGAGAACAGGCCGCGTGGGATCCATCCTGCCCAAATATTCGCCGGCCCTGTGGGGAGCAATGAGGGCCTGGCCTTCCTCCATCTTTCCTCCAAAAAGTGAAGAAAGGAAGCCATTTTCCCCTCTTGAGGGAAATGGGGGAGGCCAAAGAGGAAAAGGTTGATGTCCAGGGACAAAAAAACCAAATATATCCTTCTGGGGGTCTCTAGTCTGTGGCAAGACATCCCATAATGTCTGTTTTCCAAGGGGAGAGCAGTTCACGGAGACTCTAGAAGGCCCACAGGGCCCTGCAAACAGGCCTTCAGTACACAGATGAGGGACTTTCTTGGAAGATCAAGGCGAGTGAGGAAAAAAGACACTTTTGTTGAAAAAAAACCCAGAAGGAACATTTGTGCAACACATGAGTGACCGGCTGCTAGGGCTGACTAAATAAGCCGGGGTGGGGGAGGCATTTGAAGCCCGATTCACTACTTGACAATTGCAGAAACAGCAGCCCACTGTGGGGAAGCCAACCTAGGAACCAGGGTCGGGTGCCAGCACCTGTTGAACTTCTGCCTAACAGGCGGCAGCAAATGGCAGCGAGGATGGATTCCGCAGCAGCTGGACACCTGCTCCCACATGGCTTTGGCCCAAGGGTGCAGCTGTTGGCCCCACTGTGGGGCAAAGCCCCCAGAGGGGGGTCTCCTGCTTTCTTGGGCCTCCTTGGTCATCTCCAACTGCTTCCATGGTATTCACAAAGCCCCTGTTCCCTGGCTTAACCGCTTCTGAAGGCAGGGGACTACAAAACCCATACACTCCCTTGAGAACAAGAACTGCTGGGGGTGTGGGTCGAGAATCAAGGGACTTCCAGTTGAAGGCTGAAACCAGAATGGCAGCACCTAAAAA